ATCTCCGTGTCCGAGTTCATCGCCGAGACCACCGAGGACTACAACTCGCCCACCACGTCCAGCTTCACCACGCGGCTGCACAACTGCAGGAACACCGTGACGCTGCTGGAGGAGGTAGGTCGCGGCCGGCGCGCCCCGCGGGAACCCGCGGAGCCTCCGCTCTCAGCTGCTGCCCGGCTTGCCTGGCATCTAATCGCCTGGATTCCTGAGCCGGGGATGTTTGGGGCTGCAGAGCCACACCCCCTCCGGGACCCCCGCTCCCGGGTACAAGGGGGACCTGGGGTGTGCAGCCTCCGCCTGCCCCCCCATGCCCGGGTGCTGAGCCCGGGAGGCTGGAGGTGGGCCGAGGGCTGAGCGGGCTCTGGACACCCCTCCCCCCCTGCCCCCGGGAAGAAGAGGGATGGCCTCTCCCTATCTGTCGCCCGACACCCTTCCTGGGTGTCGGGCAGTCTGCTAGATGCTTTCCACATCATCCTGACCCTGTCATAACCCGAGAAGGAGGTGGCGCCAGGCCACGGGGGGCAGAGGGAGGGGAAGCAACGTGGCCACAGTCAGCAGCGAGGGGCAGGGAGATGGTCAGTGAATGCACTGCTCCAGGGCTTGGCAAGGCTGAGGCAAAAATCCTAAAGGAATGAGAGGGGACTCCGGCCGGGACTGCTCCCACCCCGGAATCCCTGACCTAGTCCGGGGCCTACAGTCCTGGGTGGAAGAGAGATCTGTGCAGACAAGCCCCCACGGCCCCCTCATCAGAGGGTTCAGTTATGCCTGAGCTGCTGCGCCAGCAGGACCTGCCTGCAGGGCACTCTGAGCGGTGAACTGAGACCAGAGGCCCTTGTGTCGGAGCTGAGACCAGAGGCTGCAGAAGAACAGCTCCTCCCAGGCAGACCCTCCAGAGAACCTTATGGGTGTCTGGGGACAGGGCCAAGGTCGGAGTTGTTTCCTTTACAACGTTAAGTGAATTAGCAATAGGGTGAGAGGGGTAGGTAAGGGGGGACCCCACCGCTGTGAAAGACTGAACCTCCATGAAAATAGGACATTTGCCCTGGAGCTTGGCACCAGCTATAAGTGCCGTAAAGCACCACTCCCCTCCCAGCAAGCCATACCTATTTCAGCTGCAGAAGACAGCACTGGGGGGAGTTAGGGAGGCAGACCGTGTTGTCCAGATGGATTCTCCAGGGTTGGCTTATTTGAGATCTGGGGAGCCCTCTTTAACATTGAAAAGCTTGGGCAATGCTCTTGGTACGGTTTCTGCTGCTTGCTCTTCAGACCAGGTTGCATGTAGCTCTGGTCTTCTGAAGCATAACTGCAGAAACGAGTCCGCTGCTCGAGGAGGTAGGTCCAGGTAGGTGGTCAGTGCCTCACCCCTGCCCCTCCTGGGACCCCCTCCTTGCCTCCACTTGCAGCTGCTGCCTGGCAGTCAGAGTATCTTTTTTTTTTTAATATATTTTTATTGATTTCAGAGAGGAAGGGAGAGGGAGAGAGAGAAAGAAACATTAGTGATGAGAGAGAATTATTGATCATCTGCCTCCTGCGTGTCCCCCCATTGGGGATTGAGCCTGCAACCTGGGCATTCGCCCTGACCTGGAATCAAACCTCGAGCTACTGGTTCATAGATTGACACTCAACCACTGAGCCATTCAGAGTGTCTTGATTCCCGAGCTGGGGATGTTTGGGGCCAGGGAGCCACACCCCCGCCGCCCAGGTCCTAAATTTTAGGAGAGATTTCTGCTGGTACTGGGTCCCATCTTGCCTGCCAGGTACTGCAAATTAGTCTGAACGTTTCCTGCCAGTTGAGGATGCTTTCCAGCGTTCTTTCTGAAGTTAATGATGGTGATGGAACTGAATTTTGAGATTCAGTTGGAGAAATATCACCGAACTAGGTGTGTTTGTAAGCTAGAGGTAAATGGATCTTTTTTCTTTTCCTTTTTTTCCTTCTTTGTGAACGGTCAGCCTTGTGCTAGCCTGATGCTTAGTGTCCAGGATTACATGGAGTTGCCAGGCATTCACCCCCATGGGGGCTCAGTCCTTCACTTAATTGTGATGAATTGGAACATGCTGATGTCGGAGCATTTTGCATCCTTTTTTCTGTACTAATTGTACATGCCTCTAAAGGATGTCCCATTGATTAGACTGAGCGGTTATTTTCCTTCTCGATAACTTCTTCCGTGCCTGCTAATAGCGCTGTCGGTTGTTTTAACTTTCCCTGTCTGCACATTCAGATACTGTTACTGCATTCTGTTTGGGGTGTGATAAGGGTAAGTAGTTGGAGATGCTATTTGTAGGGGTATGTGCCCATAATTTCAGCAACCACAGAGGATACGATAAATGTTGCTCTTGGTCTTAGTTGTAGGTAACTAAATTTAAAAGCAAATGCAAGGGGATGTGTATGTGTGGTGTGTGTTGCTGTTTTGCAAGGTTAGAAAAATAGATCAGTCATAATACAGATGTGGTTATCTATGAACTTGAGAAGGAATTGGAACCAGGCTAGAAGTTTAAAAGTGTCATGTTAGAGTACATTGATAATACTCATGGTCTCAAAAATATAACAGTAACTGTTTCACTCAGAATGGCACAGTAATTTTGTAACTCTCTTTTCTGAACTTCAGTACAGTACTGGTTAGGAAGTCATTGTACCCAGTCTGTGTCTTTTAACTCTTGAATCATAGTCCATGAAGTTGAACTCATAAGTGATTTTCATTTGCATAAATGTGAAACATACCCTTTAGTTTCTTATTGATAGACTAGTGGCCCGGTGCACAAATTTGTTCACGTTGAAAGGAAATTAATTAGAAGAAATATTTTAATATCGCTATTAACCCTTTCTCTATAATAGAAGTGTCAACCAAATTCACAATTGACGATGGAAACACACATGCGATTGGTGCCAGCGAGAGCTTTATATGTATCCCGCATGCACAAGTCATCTTAGCCTTTTATATACATAGAATAAACTTGCTTAATTAGACCTGCTTTCTGTTGTAGCTGAACTTTTTCCAGCCCAGTGAAGCACCCCAACTTCTCTTTCAAGTAATTGTCAGCAGCACAGCAGTAAATATCAACACAAAGCAGATTATTATTGTAGATCACACAGGGAGAACAAAGGGTAAAATACTTAATTATAGCAGTGTTTGACTATATTCTGCACAAAGAGAAAACCTGAAGTCATTTTCAAGGTCCATCATTCCTTCTTTTCAGTCGGGTCAGGTTTCTAAGCTTTCTAAATCTCCGTTTTCCAGCTAATGAAAAGAAAATAGGATTCCACTGAGTCTCCTGTCTACCTACTCCAGGACTTCTGTGAGGATCAAATGAGATGAGGCACGGGAAAAACGCTTCACAGACATTTGGTTAAAGTGTGAAATGTTTGTTTGCACCTCAGTATAAAGCAAGTTGTGTTTCTGGGCTGAAGAAACTGCAAGGAGGCTAGTTGCTAGGGAGAGGAAGCTCGGTGAAGCCATGACATCATTACCCAGACAGACACTTAGCATATTAGCCTTTTATATATATAGATAACCACAGGGTCGAATCCCCCTCCCCCTGCCCCTGCCCCGAGCTTACATGTGTGTCGGGGGTACATTATTGCACGTATCTTAAGTGGATCAGAATTCGGCTCTTAAAAAATATGGGCCTTAAGAATATTAAAAGTTTCAGAGCAAAGCACCAAATCTTGTTGGTATGTGCTTTACAAGTGAGATACTTGGGACCTTTAGGACAGCGGTTGCCAACCTTTCGGACCTCACAGACCACCAGAGGTCTGCAGACCAACAGTTGGCGACCGCTAGTTTAGAACACTGTTTGTGTTATCGTGTGGTTATTCTTAGTAATAGAACTTTTGGGTGCTTTTTTTGTGATGTGGAAACTCAGGAATAGATATTAACTTGGGCAGCTTGGAATTATTTCTTTTAAAAAAATCTTTTCTAGTTCTAGTAATTAAATGTCTTTCGGTTCGTTTACTATTTTGCTCTTTGGGTTCCTAATTAACATGCGTTAAGTCTCAACTAAAAACCGGTATTGAGCTCCTAGCTTGGAATCTGCGTTTAACCCACCCTCTCCCTTTTGCTACGTCACTGGCAGAGAGTGTGTTTTGCAGATGTCGGGGCCTTTACTGAAATCTCTCCCTACGAGCACTCTAGGAAGGGGGTCAGAAATATGGTAAAAGAGCCAGAGTCTCTTCTGGTCTTCGCCTCTGGGGGCGAAGGGTCCCCCAGGACCCGGGGAGTCAGGATGTGGCTGGCACACAGTGAGTGGCTGCCTTTGGGAAGCAGGAGTGGGTTGGCTGCCAAGGTTTCATCCTGGTGCGAGAGTGTTTTCCAAGCAGAAAGCCAGTGTTTTGCTTATTCAGCAGCCAGAGCACACTGACGTGCGCTGTTTCACTCGTGACCGTTTGGAAGTTATGAGTAAATGACTAGGAGGCGAGGAGAAGACAGTTTTCCCGAGGATGGAGCAAGCAGGCATTCCAGGACCACTGTCGGGGGAGGCAGTAGGAGAGACCCTCTGTTTAAAGACTTGGATGGGCCCTAGCCGGTTTGGCTCAGTGGATAGAGCATCGGCCTGCGGACCAAAGGGTCCCAGATTCGATTCCGGTCAAGGGCACATGCCTTGATCGCAGGCTCTTTCCAGGCCCAGGACCTGGTCGGGGCTCGTGCAGGAAGCAACCAACCAATGTGTTTTTCTCTCATCAGTGTTTCTCTCTGTCTCTCCCTCTCTCTTCCACTCTCCCTAAAAACCAATGGAAAGTATCCTCGGGTGAGGATTAACAAAAAAAAATTAAATAAAAAATCAAGGCTTGGATTGGTCCATGCTTAGTGCTTGGTGAAAGGGAGAGTCCAGCAAAGGTGTGCTTGGTTACTTAATATTGAGCCAGTCTTTTATCCGTGGTAACGATGGAGGAGGCATGTTCTGCCCATTTATTGAGCAGCTGCTCTGTGCCAGGCCCGACGTGGGCAGATGGCATGCATGCTCTCATTTAACCCTCCTATGGGCTGTAGGAAGGAAGGGACCATTGTATATCTCCATTTTACAGGGAAGAAAACAGGCCTGGAGATGAAGTGATTTGTCTCTGGGGTCCAATGGCTATAAGCAAATGGAGTTGGGAAATCCTTAAGTGGTTAAGACAG